AATGCAAAACCATTCATAAGATTGTACCTGATTGGATACTCAATTCAAACACCAATCAGAAAACAGCTTGTTTCATGGTTTTTTTTGACAAATCAAATTTGATTTTATACATATGCATTTACTAACTGGCCTATAATGCCAAGGTTAATAAATATATTAATTAAGTATTGGACTCGGTTTCAATTTACCCAACAAATCCATTTTAGTCATTATTCATTTTAGGCTCATTCACAGGGTTCATATATTATATGAGAAAGTAAGACCAGGTTTCTTTGGTTGCGATTCATATTTGGGACATATGAGAATAGATAACTGCAACTCACACTTGAATAAATAAATAAAATTGGCCCCTAAAAGGGGTAAATTGCTGCTTAGTTCAGTGTTGATCAGTATAGTATTCTTCAAAAATACTTTTTCAGAGAAGAAAACATTTATTCTGTCATATGAAGGCCATCAACATTAATATCAGTTTTGTAAATATTCAATGAAGATTCTATGAAAAGCAAGACTGTTCAACCTTGACAGCCATGCTTATATGAATATCTCATCCCAACATCAGCTCTATCTCCCCTGATCAAAATGGTTTAGTCCCAAAACTTCAGTTCAACAAACTATCTAATTCGATTTAAAAAACATAAGAAGTTACAGAACGAACAGGACTTGAGCGTGCGTCAGGGTCAGCTGTCTCGCGATCTCGCAACCAATAATGGCAACGTGGACAGCCACATCTAAGAAATGAACGTGACGATTATTTCCTGCAAGTTTACATTTGCCGTATACTTGAGTCGTTGTTATCATAGGATGGGTCATCATGAAACTGCATAAATTCACACCTTGCAACAATGTTAGGCAAACCAATTAAGATGGATTAAAATTAAAACAATTAATTGTCAGTGCAATAGATGTGCATTATGGGAAATAAAGTCAACTAACCTACCTCCCCTCAGGGGTTAATGAAATATGCAAGGTGTTTCAAGGTAGACTTGAAAGAGAAGTTGAACAAACTATGATAGGTCGGGATGTAGGGCAAGGCATCACAAGAAGTCGTATCATATCAGACGTGAATTAAAAATATCTTACTTATAATTTATACACAGTGCACAAACGCTTAGAATATGATCATTGCTAGATGTCAATCAAACTTAATATCTGACTATAACGAACGAACTGCTAACCGTCGTGTTGCCGTAACAACAGCACCGGCCAGTGTTTCAGAGAAATTGTGAAGAGTGTATTCCTGAAACTGTGGCTCATCGCTGACCAACGTAGGAGATTTGCTGGAGGTTTGTACAAACTAACTATAACTACAATCGTGTGCTGCCCGCTCCATGTAGTTTGAATTCAACGATAACTGTAAACAATCGCAACCAACGAGCGTGGGTTATTTAGTATATTATATCATACGATTTCCCCCCTGTGTTACACTATCACATTGGATGAGTGTAGCATGAATGTGGATTTATAACGTTGCATCAGGAATTGTATTGCAATTTAGTTGTTTGGCTATTTTTGAATTCCATAAAACGGAAAATTCCCCGCGCCGTTATAATTGGAGTGTTTGCGTTCGATTGGCCTAGTATACCGATATATAGTCATCCTTTCAGTGATATATTTTACTCATTTGTATTCAGTATTTTGCTTTTATACCATTTACATGAATACTGTTGAACTGTGTTGTATTTTTATGCAGAAGATCATTTAGTCCTGTAGAGGTCAGTGACACTGAGTGACCTTGGATACCAAACTAAGCAAACTGGGTGAAGTCAGTTTTACCGTGTGTCCACGTTATTACGAGTTGTTAGTGACGGAACTAGTCCTGAACTATTTCATTTCATGTTCTCCCTTGTTCATATATTGTGCAGTGGATATATACTACATTTGACTGTTGCTATAGAGACGAATAGCATTGAATATCTGAGACATATCAGCTGATATAGGAATTATTATTGCATTGTGTGATTTACTATGTTCTCATTGATGACAGTGTCAAATAACGAATAAACGACACGTCCTGACTTCTCGGGGCTTTTGGTCAATGTATTTGATGTGTCTTTGTATGTTATATTTTTATAATTATTATCATTAGGATTACAGCGCCCTCTATGGTCGCAACTGTTCTCAAGTCCAGAAAACAGAATTATACCGAATCAAGGAAGTACGACGTTAAAGCTTATTGTTTATTTAAATCTTTTTTGTGTGCACAGTCTGGAGTGTAACAATCACATATGCCTAATTTATATTTACAAATAACATTTGAAATGAAAGAAGGTAATTTGTATGAAGAAACATTTTTGGGTTACTTGATCTGCGTTTTGTTTGACAGTAAATTATTTAGTCAATTGAATCCTTTGAATTTGAGACCTCTACATTTTAACCAAAATATAAGTTGCCATTTATTAGCCTTATCTGGATCAAATGTTGATAACTAGAAACAATAGAATAAGGTTAAAACAACAAATTCAATTCCTCTCTAAAAATGTAGGAATTTAATAAAAGAAAATTGTCTATAAACAGTGAAAGTTACACAAAACAAAGCGTAAATAGTGTTATACAATTCAGCTGCATACCCGTGGGGTATATTAAAACCTTACACCATGTGCATTTTTGCATCACATTGGCAAACCATACACCCTATTGCGGACGCAATGTAAATTTAGTACCCCTAGAGCAGACATATTGAAAAAAAAATACACCCCTATTGCAGGCATATATTGAGAACATCCTATCCCCATTGCTAGGATTCTCTGCCGTTTTTTGCACACAAGTGGAGTGTGATCAACTCAAACAAACGCAATTGATACCTCTCGAATCGAGGGCCATCTTATCACTACCGGGGCCGCTAAAATCACTACCGGGCGCGCTAAATATCACTACTGGGGCCGCTAAAATTACTACCTGGTGCGTATAACTGCCTTTTGTAAATAGAGAGTACTTGAATTGTCATGGAAACTGGAAACGCTCTCGCCCACGATAGTTCACCCACGATAGTGCATGATGCATCACAGAATAATATAGCTGTTTAGGTGATTTTATTTTTTTATTAACGTATCAAAGGTCAATCAATTACTATTATTACGAGGTATTGCCCACTCACGTAACATTATGAAAAACCTAATGCCGAACCGTGCAATAATTGTCCTTATATATCACGCTAATATTTGTGTCACAATATTTGAACAAAACATGTTCCCCTTTATAGATTTATTAACGGCGCATACACTGGTTGTGTTGATACACTCATGCCAGTGCACACTGTGAACGTTTGAATACATGACGGAATAAATAACCGAAAAAAAAAAACATTAGTAGCCCGAAACATCTGAAGTTATTTTAATGAAGCATACAATGTATAACACCTCATTGACTGGATTTGTACGCCTTCAAAAGCTAGAGCGCTTCTACCGTACGACATCTAGTCATGAGGGCAGTCTCAGGTCCATAAGGAATAGTACTTAAAGACATAACATGTTATGTGCATGTCAAAGTTCACGAACCCGGATATTTCAAGTCTATACCGAAGAACCACCATGTTTACCTTTTTTTACGTATTTCTGGCTGGCTTTGCAAGTAAGTACGCGGCAATGTATTCAATACGCTGTGGATATACACGTATTCTATATTTATTGCTACACGAAGGCCCTGTCGATTGTCACTGGCAATGTTCAATATTTTTTTTGCCTTTTGTACGCATTCATTATATGTATATTTTTGTCGTCGTACTTGTTTATACATAACATTGCAGCTGTTAGTGATTTACAACTTCTATTTTTTAGAGTCACTGATAGTAATTAATCGTAGTATGTATGGATGTATATATACATTATCACCCGATCACATGTATTCCATATTGAAACGTTTGCTGCAACTGCTATATCAACCTGAAAAATGATTATTCCAATGTATGCGGTATATAACCACTACGTTAGCAATACCACAGTGGGTATTTTTAATTTATTTCATATTCTCAGCTTCTGTAGCAGTGACTATCACTCTACCAGCTGGTTCAATAATAACTACGATTGAGACCACAACAACAGTATTGGAATGTACATTTACTACAACTGGTATTGATCCACTGATTACATGGTTCAAAGGAAGTAGTACAAGTCCAGGTGAAGGTACTACAGTTATACAAGGACAGAATGGTCAAGTTGCCAACTTTCCTGGATTCACACGACATGACATTGAAGACGCAGCTAGTTTAGTTATAACTGACACACAGTTGAGTGATGCTGGTACATATTGGTGTGAAGTATACGCTGATGGTGATGGTACTGACGAAAAATTTATTACACTCACAGTAACATGTATGTACAAATACAGCTTTCTGAATCATAAAACGGAGAATTATTTATCACATGAATAAACCCGTTAATTATATTGTGACGTAATGCTTATATACTTGATACTTAAACGATATGTGGAACTCAACGGTTCTATACAAATTGGTGAGAACGAAACAAATATGAATGTTTCTGTGATGTTATTTTGCACGCACAATAAATGCCGGCGTGAGGATTTGTTAGTTAGCATCAACATTTGTCCTCAGCACGCCCAGTTTTGTTTGACTATATTACAATGACAGAAACATTTTTTATAGCATTATTTAAAGCAGCATGTAGTCTGAATCCTTAACGAATTTTGATTAGAGATTATAAATTTTATTAAAATATTGTGTTTAACATTTTGACCGGTCGTGAATGACCAGGCCACATGTGACACAGTGCCAGTTGTCAACCAGAGACATCAGTCAACGCATCATGTGGGTTACATTCTATGACTAAGTTCAGTTCTGTGATATGGTACAGTCCTTTTAGTTAAACGGTTGCGATTAAAAACAAAACAAAACTTAAACTTTTTTTAAATTGAAATGTAAACTACTTCAGTGAAATTACACCTATTAAAATACAAAAAAAAACGTTCAAAGATTACCTCTTATAATTTACATAAATGTGCATATATGTATTTAGGCGTGGCATTTTGTGTGTTGAAAGATGTTTTACAGGTTATAATAGAATAATAACAAATTGACATTTAATGTTCTGTATTTTACTCAAATCGTGAGTAAAAATCGCAGCTGTATATTCTTCCATAGTGTGTAGCGTTAAATACAGTATTATTGCATCGGAACACTCAATATATCCATTATGACACTTCCTAAGCACGATATTGAATAATAAGTACATGGCTGCACCACTTCTATTTCAGATTTACTTTAAAATGTCATGAAAATTCCAATCAAATCGATATATTTATAACTCGCAAAATAAAAGAACAATTGACGACCGTGAAAATCTCTAAAATGTCGGGAAGTATCTCTTCCATCAAACCTCGCACTTGTAAAACTTCTTAAATACTTTTTCGTCTGTGGTGAAATGACTAAGTTTACTGAGATAACATAAAGGACTTTGCAAAGTTATCTAACATTAGTTCAAAAATTAGAATATTAGTCAACATTACAAAACTAGTTAATAAATTTGACAATGCAATCCACGTATTATGTTAAAATTTGAAAATGTTCATTGACGATTCTTGTTTTCAAAGACATTCGTTATACTACTAATTTACTTGTGTTTGTTACTTTATGTGAGCGTTTTTTTCTTTAATAATATAGATCCTTGTCCTTCTAATGAATTCATGTTATTTCATCACGTGGTAGTTGTTCGTCGTTCATTGCGCAGTGGCCATCTTATATTAATTATTTAGGTTTCGTCTTTTTGGTGTTTTATTGAGTCTTCGTTTTGTTGTTATCGGGTTCCCGGCTGGTTTGTTGGTACTGTCGTGGGCTTGGTGGATAGATGGTCGTCGTCCAAGGAAGTGAGTGCCTGAGTTGAATTTGGGGTATGTTGCTTGGCTTTGAGAGTACCGTCTTGGAATCGCATAGGTGATGTTCTAACTACTCAATACTAATTATTTGATATGATATGAATTTTATTCAATACAATGGCCTCTGGCCTATGGTACAATAAATCAAAAAAATAGAAAAATACATACAGAGGGATTCCTTTAAATAATTGTTGAATCTACTAGTCACAACTGGTTAAGTAGATTGACTCTGTGTTTAGAAGCGTAGAATAAAAATTTTGAAAATTGAACTACAGATAAGTTGTCTAACTGCATTAAACAAAGAAATTTTTCGTAAGTCTGATTTGACAGATAAAATATAAGAAAATATTTTTTCTAAGATTTACATAACGTGGACATACAAGGCACAAATGATATTCATCCTCAACCAACCCTAAATTACATAATTTACAGATTCTCATATTCCTCGGTATGTTTAGTTTACGATCAGATTCAACCCGAAGGTTGTGGGGTGATGTTCTAAGCTGACATAGCGCAGAACGTAACTTGTTGTCTTTATTAAATGCAAATATTTTTCACATCCAAAATCGATCTTAAAATCTCTGTATTTATCGAGTTTAGGATAACTGTTTGTTTGTACATATCATGAACTCTTTGGGTGAATAGAGACAAAAAGGAACAGTTATCTTCCTCGCCTTGGTTTAACCAAACAAAACCAAAACCGTGCGAAAATAGTAATTCTTTGACTTGGAAAGCCCAACATTTACGGTTGTTTTCCACTTCTTTATACTGGAAAAGGTAACATTGGTAAACATAACGCTGTGTTTGCATTTTTAAAATTTTCAACCAAAATTTAATAATACGTATCTAACACAAATGGATTAGTGGTAGTCTGCCTAATTCTCCATAAATTACAGGATTTGCTGTGGTTGTAAGCAAATTTAAAATAAATTTACAAAACTTGCGATGTGTTTCCTCAGTATTTACCCCTTTGTCAAAACCCCAAACTTCACTGCCATACATCAATAATGGTAAAATTTTACAGTCAAAACTCTTTAAATACATTTGTACATCAATATCAATGTATTTTGCTAGTATCTTTTTTAAAGCAAATATTGCTTTACTCGCCTGCTCGGCAATCACTTTTTGGATATCTAAACCATTATTCGAAAAAGTAATACCCAGATAGCAAAATTGAGGCAAAACCGGAAGTTGTTCACCATTGTAGTGCCATTTCTCATAATGCCTTAATTTGCCGGCATTTCTAAAAACTACAATTTTTGTTTTTACTAATATTGACTTTAAGTTTCCATTCGCCTGAATATTCTGATAAACCGTTCAGCAGTCTTTGTAAACCAACTCATTCGAACTAAATAATATTAAATTTTCAGCAAATAGTAAGTAAAACAATTTAAGTAAACCAACATATACACCTGAAAGTCTGTGCGCCAAATAGTCACCAAGGTCGTTTATAAACAAAGCAAACAGAAGAGGTGACAAAATAAAGCCATTGTTGAACCCCACATAGACATTTAAACGTTTCCGTTACCCCTTTTGGGCTTCGTACACGAGACTTTATTTTGCTATACATAGACTGTACAATTTTGAAAAAGCGACCATGAAGACCATTTTTTAGCAATTTAAAGATTAACATATAATGATTAATATGGTCGAACGCTTTTTCAAAATCGACAAACACAGAA